CTTTCATCAGAAACTATCTGTGCGATTTGCAGCTGACCTTCAAGGCGCCCAGCAGGGTATCTTCCATGTCACAGCCTAGACCGACGACCTGGTTACCACCAAGGGAGGGACATTCCAAGCTTAATGTTGATGTGGCGGTGCCTAGGGCTGGAGGTTTTGGCGTCGTAGGAGCTATCTGCAGAGACTCCTCAGGCCTGTTTCTGGGTGCATCCGCCTCGTGTTCAGAAACACCGACCAGCCAGAAGTACTAGAAAGCCTTGCTATACGCGAGTCACTGGCCCTGGCTGACGATCTGTACATTCAAAAAAATCATATCGCCTATGATTGCAAGTCAGCTGTTGAAGCTATCTAGAGAGGAACATCTTCGGCTTATGGAGCTGTGGTGCAGGAGATCAAGGAGCATTCTAGCAACTTTATTTCCTATTTATTTAGTCATGAGTTTAGAACCTTAGATGTCGAGGCTCACAAACTACACTAGTAGAAAATAAGGCTTTGGTTCAGGCCTGGCAAGCCCATTAATCCCGGTTCAGCCCAGAACCGGGACCCATGGGGGCATTGGTCCCGGTTCATGAGGTCAGGGGGCCTGCCGGGCCTCGTGAGGGCATTGGTCCTGGTTCGTCTGGCCCCTTTGATCCCAGTTGGTGGGACAAACCAGGACCAATGGGCTTCGCTCCTGGCCCATCACCATTAGTCCCGGTTGGTGACTTAAACCAGGACCATCCTTTGGTCCCGGTTCAAGCCACCAACCGGGACCAATGATGTGCCTACATATACCCCCTCGCCGGTGAGCAGAGCACTCCACGCTACTATGTTTTTTCTGGCCGGCGAGGAGAGGCCTTTGTGGTGCTCTAGCTCACCTCCTATGCACATGAGGTGTTCGATGGATTGCCCGAGCCACACTACTTAAGCTTTCTCCTCTCCAAGCTCGACCTCCAAACTCCATTTTTCTCAATATTTGTCTAGGTTTAGCGGTCTGTCACGTCTCGTCCCCGTCTTCACCGCCGTCAATCGCCCGCGCCGATCTCGTCGCCGGCACCACCGTGGTGAGCCTCTTGTTCTTATCTTCTTTCTGAAAGGAAAAATAATTCTTACTTGTATATTTAGATTGATACTTGTATAGTTTTCTTACTTTTATTATTGCTTCTTATTATATAGTGCGATGGTTTTGGTATCTGCCCCCGTCGGCCCTTGTCCTGTCTATGATTCGGATGTGGTATATATTATCTTTTATAACTATTTGGTTCATTTATTTTTTATGACAATTATGTCGACCAACGTGACATAGATTTTATTTGTCTAAGAGGTATGTGAACCGGAAATTCCAACCGACCCTATTGTCGAGAGGTTAAATTTAGTTGAAGAAGAAAACAATTACTTGAAGGAAAAAATAAAAAAAATTGAGGAGGAGAAATGATATTGGAGTTGCATGTTGCGGATGCCGTCGATGATCACAAGATCAAGATGGATGCAATGCGCTTGAAGATTAGAAAGATTAAAAAATATGTCATTCATACCGAGGCTTGATATCATTATGCCGTTGGATCAATTATTACCTTGGTTGCGATTATGATCGCATTTGTTGTTGCATTGAAATGTTTTACATAGTTTCAATGTATTGTTTAATTAGATGCTCTGGAGAGCTATATGTTGTTCAATGAGAACTATGTATGTACTTTGGTTTTAATGTGATGATGAACTTCTATTAATTTGGTTACTTATCTATTCATGATGTTCTGTAATGGTTTTTGATACACTTAATTATATATAATGCACGTAGATGAACCGGCAATGGATATACGGTGACAGACACACCTCTGAGTACATTAAGGGCGTGCATAATTTTCTTGAAGTGGCTGGGGCAAACAAATAGAATGGTTTTATGTGTTGTCCATGCCCTATATGTGGGAATACGAAGTCTTACTCTAACTCAAAAACCCTTCACACCCACCTGCTTTATAAGGGTTTCATGCCACACTATAATGTTTGGACCAAGCACGGAGAAATAGGGGTTATGATGGAAGACAACGAAGAAAAAGAGGACGATGACAACTATGTGCCCCATGAATACGGTGATGCTGCAACGTGGGAAGCTGTTGAAGATCAAGAGGAACCAGACGATGTGCCCGATGATGATCTCTGTCGGGTGATTATTGATGAAAGGAGACAGTGCCAAAGTCAAAAGGAGAAGCTGAAGTTCGATCGCATGTTAGAGGATCACAAAAAAGGGTTGTACCCTAATTGCGAAGATGGCAACACAAAGCTCGGTATCATATTGGAATTGCTACAGTGAAAGGCTGAATGGTGTGTCTTACAAAGAATTTAAGAAGCTACTGAAAATATTGAAGAAGAAGTTTTCAAAGGATAACGAATTGCCCGACAGTACGTATGCAACAAAGAAGGTTGTATGCCCTCTAGGATTGGAGGTGCAGAAGATACATGCATGCCCAAGGGATACCACGCATGCACACACTATTTAGATGACATCGAAACTATATACATGGACAAATGCAAGAAGAATGTGTACCTAGGGCATCGTCGATTCCTTCCGACGAACCATCAATGTCGAAAGAAAGGCAAGCATTACAAAGGCGAGGCAGATCACCGGAAGAAGCCCGCCATGCGTACCGGTAATCACGTACTTGCTATGGTCAATGATTTAAAAGTAATCTTCGGAAAGGGTCCCGACGGACTATCTGTTCCGAATGACGCTGAGGGACGCGCACCCATATGGAAGAAGAAATCTATATTTTGGGATCTACCCTATTGGAAAGACCTAGAGGTCCGCTCTTCAATCGACATGATGCACGTGATGAAGAAGCTTTGCGTGAACCTGCTAGGCTTCTTGGGTGTGTATGGGAAGACAAAAGATACACCGGAGGCACGGGAGGACCTGCAACATTTGCACGAAAAAGACGGCATGCCTCCAAAGCAGTATGAAGGTCCTGCCAGCTACGCTCTTACCAAAGAAGAGAAGGAAATTTTCTTTGAATGCCTGCTCAGTATGAAGGTCCCGTCTGGCTACTCGTCGAATATAAAGGGAATAATAAATATGACAGAGAAAAAGTTCAAGAACCTAAAGTCTCATGACTGCCACGTGATTATGACGCAACTGCTTCCGGTTGCATTGAGGGGGCTTCTACCGAAAAATGTTTGATTAGCCATTGAGAAGCTATGTTCATTCCTCAATGCAATCTCTCAGAAGGTGATCGATCCAGAAATCGTACCAAGGTTAAGGAGTGATGTGGCGCAATGTCTTGTCAGTTTCGAGCTGGTGTTCCCACCATCCTTCTTCAATATCATGACGCTCGTCCTAGTTCATCTAGTCAACGAGATTGTCATTCTGGGCCCTGTATTTCTACACAATATGTTCCCCTTTAAGAGGTTCATGGGAGTCCTACAGAAATATGTCAGTAACCGCGCTAGGCCAGAAGGAAGCATCTCCATGGGTCATCAAACAGAGGATGTCATTAGGTTTTGTGTCGACTTCATTCCTGAACTTAAAAAGATAGGTCTCCCTCAATCGCGGTATGAGGGGAGATTAGGTGGAAAAGACACGCTAGGAGGGGACTCAATAATATGTAGGGACGGGCATTCTTGGTCTCAAGCACACTACATAGTTCTACAGAATTCTACCTTGATGACCCCGCATGTCGATGAACACAAGAATATTCTGTGCTCCAAACACCCAGACCAGTGTGACGACTGGATTACACGTATACACATCAGGAGTTTTGACAGTTGGTTGCACACGTCTCAGGGTGACAACCCATATGTGCAGAACTCACATGTGAGTTTCAGTGCTACGTCTTAGGTTTAGTTTCTTGATCACAAAAAAAGATGTTACTCCTATAATTTGATAATATCTTTTTATTATATTACAATGATTTCATCCTAAAGCTAAATTCATGTGGCATCACATAGTGGACCTTTCTTTACACCATACCTTCCCGCAACAATGCGCGGAGAATCATCTAGTTTTATCAATGCTCAGTCCCTTAATGCTATTAGTAAAAAATAGGGTGGAGCACACCTTCTATGGGTTTTGTCAAGTTAAATGTAGATGCTTTTTTTGATCATGATCTGTTTAGGGTAACAACGGGCGCTATACTCAGAGATGACAAAGAAAAACCCATCGCTAATGGAAATTGGAAGATTGATTGGTGTACTGACGTTCTGACAGTTGAAACGATGGCTCTAAAATTTGGCTTATCTCTTGCAGAAAAAGCGGGTTGCAATCGTCTTGTTATTAATCGGATAATATGAAAGTCATTGATACAATGAAGAATGGAGGATGGCATGCGGAAGCAGCGGCGGCAGTTTTTAACGACTGCTACTTTTTGACTTGTGATTTTTCTCTTAATAAAACATTGTAATAGGGAAGCGAATAAGGTCGCCCATGAACTTGATAGGTTAGCGAAATTTTCAGCGACAAGGAACTGGTCTGAGGAGCCCTTG